GAAGCCTTTCCTGATGTCCAGCCTGAATCTGGGTTGTTGCAACTGGAATTGATTATTCCGTGTCCTACACTGTGGCATCAGCAAGAAGAGATCTTGACCTTCCTCTTCGTGACAGCCTTTGAGGTACTTATAGAGGGATATCATGTTTGGCAGAATTTCTCTCCCAACAGATATTGGGGAAATTGCAGTCCCTTGTAATGATGATATCATGGCTCCTTGAAACACTGGCAATTTGCTTTTCAAAAGTTTTATCTCCATCTTTTCCTTGACCGGGTGGTCAGTAATAAACACCAACCACAGTGTTCCTTTTATTCCTTGCTCCATTTATATTAATCCAGATGCTCTCAATGGGCTACTAAGCACATCCTCCTGCATGTCTGTGCAGAGATGTGCATCTTTAACATACAGTGCAACTCTACCTCCCTTTCTGTTCCTTCTGTTCTTTGTAAACACGTTATATCCTTCAATGGTTGACTTCCAGGCATGGGAGCCATCCCACCAAGTTTCCGTTATACCTATCAGGTCATATTTTTCCTACTGTATGAAGAGTTCCAATTCATGCTGTTTGTTCCCCATAATCTGGACATTAGTATACAGACACTGAATACCATGCACTTTATTCTCTAATTTTCTTCCGACGTTGTTTGACGGTTAGGGCACCGTTAGAGCTGCTCTCCCTGTTGTGGTGCATAACCCTTTGTCTCTTGTTACATCCAGGTGTACTTCTCCCTCTCCTGTAGGATTCAGTTTAAAGCCCTCCTGATAAGCTTACTCATGCTGTGGCCAAACACCTTCTTTCCAGTCCTTGTAAGGTGCAGTCTATCCCCTGCCAGCAGCCCATCTTCCGGGAAGTATAGCCCATGGTCCCAGAATCCAAATCTCTCATGTTGGCACCACCTTTGTAGCCAGGCATTCACTTGGAGTATTTCCCCCCACTCTATTCCTCTTCCAAGAACTGGAAGGATTGAAGAGAAAGCTATTTGGGCTCTAAAGTTCTTGACTTTCCTCCCTAAAGCTTCAAAGTCTGATGTGATCTCTTCAAAGCTTCACTTGGCAGTGTCATTTGTTCTCACATGTTTAAGAAGGAAGAGATATGTACCAGTGGGCTGTATGAGCCTTGGCAATCTTTCAGTTATATCCCTAATCTGTCCTCCAGGGAGATACCTGGAGATGTCTCTCCTGACATACTTGTGTTTCCATCCCACGCAGCAGGGAGTCTCCCACAACTAGCACTCTTCTCTTCTTGTACTTGTCAGCCTTGGTATCATTGCCACTACTTTGCTAACCTTTAGCCTCTTGTTCAGTATTGCACCCAATGTCTTGCAGTTTTTCCACAGCAGGCTGCCCTCCAGCCTCATCCCTGAGCAACTGAATGCGGTCCGAGAATTCCACTGGTTCCACGGGTCTTTTAGTTCTTCTGCACCTGTTACCCGTTTCCAGGGAGCGTCCTCATTTTCCTTTCCCTCAGGATTCTCCTCTTCTGCCTCAGCTTGCTGTTGCACTTCTAGCTTCTGTACTCTGCTGAGCTGTTGCAGCTCCACTGCTTCGTCTACAACCTCTTCACCTTCTCTTATTGCCTCGCGGGTGGGCACCTGCTGCTCTACTGCACCTGCCTTTTCCTCTAGCAGGGCTAATGGCTTGCAACTGTTGCATGTGCAGGCCTTGTTGGCCTCAGGCAGGAAAACAAACATGGCACAGACAATGCACACGACCACCACTACGGAGTCGTTTCAGTCTATTCTTTCTGCTTCCTTTTTGATTCTACCGTCAAACAGGGCTTGTTGTAACAACCTGTGCTTTCGCCTGTCTTTGCTAAAGGTTAACAGCACAGTCCAACCAGTAAATGGGAATGTGTTACAAGGAAGAAAACTGGGGTGGGGGAGCTAAGGGGGGGGGGGGGGGGGGGGGGAGGAGGAGGAGGAACAGTACTGTAAGGGACCTCCCCCACTGAACACTCCGACTTGCTCTCTGTGTTCGCTCGCTCCCTGAGAGGTGGGCTGCTTGCACCCCAAAGGTCCTAGACCAGCTACTCCGCTCAGCTGGGAGTCAGGAAGCAGAATGAATCTCCCCACCTACACAGTTGCTGGTGGAAATCAGGCCGCTCTCTTCCTGTCACACCTCCCAGGACACGCACCCTTCAGCTGCAGCTCTCAGGCCTCTTGGAAGAGACGATGCTGGGCCAGCCCAGGCCCCTCACCCCTTTGCCCCTGCCTGTGTCTCCTCTTCCACCACCACTTTGCTTTCGTGCCTTCGCTTTCTTTTCTTTTTTGTTACTTCAGATAGCTTGAAGCCGAGCACTGACAGCAGGTTCTGAGGCTGAACCCTGGTGAGCCGGGCTCTGTACACATGAATTACTCAAGTTAAGCAGCTGAGGCAGGAAGCAGTGGTGCTTCTAGTGTGGAGCTCTCCATGCACGATTTTTAAAAAATGCTTAAAGCGGATTCTGACAATTGCTTCTGCCATTGCTTGACTTGATGCATTCTGGAAAAAAGAGGAGATATGGAACTGGCCAAGAAATGGTAACAGCTATAAACTCTGTTGTGAGTTTATGACACAAATCTTGGGAAACTCTTCTTCACAGCCTCCTCCAGTGGGATGAAGCTGAAATCAACACACACACACACACACACACAGAGTGATGTGCAAAGAAGGCTGCTAACAAGCCCTGCAGGCATTGTTAAAATGTGAGGGGAATTGTAACATTTGAATCACAATGAGAATAAGCTCCTACATGTACAGCTGATCTAACATCCCCTGGAGATGAGGCTGTAAAGGGCAAGGAAGCAAAGCAGAGAATGCAGAGAACAGGAATTTGGGCATGAATGGCCAGATTTATTCCCAGCAGACAGGACAGTGGGGAGATGGATTACTGCAAGCCAGAAGGTTCCCGGCCTCTGCCACCTGCTGACCGACAGAGGGGGTGCCGAAGGAACCCAGGGCTCCTGAACAATATGGCACACAAGGCCAACTTGGGTCAATGCGAAGCAGAAGCAGGACGTTTCAGGTACAAGGCAGATGGGCAAGATAAAGGGGGACAGAAAGGGAATGGGAAGAGGAGGCAGGTTCAGAGACTTGCATAACTATAGGCAGTGGTTGCCATACTGGTCTCAGAGAATAAGAAATAAAATAGGTGATGTGATTTCCTATCTGTTCATACAACAGCACACAAGCACTGAATGGTGGCACAGGTCCATCTAGTTCAGCACTGTCCATAAACTGACTGGAGGTTCTCCGGGGATTCAGAGAGAGGTCCTTGCCAGTCCAACCTGGTGATGCCAAGGCCTGAACCCAGGGCCTTCTGTATGTCATGCATAAGCTCTGCCACTGAGCTGCAGATGCTGGGCCTGCTGGGCTTGGGACAAGAGGGTGGGGGTGGGGCTGGGCCAAGGCGTTCACATCTGAGGTCATCAGAATAAGAGATGTTGTTTTGCATTTGCTGTCTTCATGCAGCTCTCACCACAATCACGTGGCATGTTTGCATGCTCTGCTAAGCCACCTGAGAAGAGGCCACGGTGGGTTGTGGGCTTACTTGGCGCTTCCAACAGAGGATCAGCACTTTGCAGCTTGCTATACCTCGTTCCCCCCCAGGCTTACTGCCCTCTCATCACTGGGATACCTCCCAGGCATTATCTCCTCTTTCTCTGTCTCAGCACGCTTTCTGCAATTGGTTTGCTAGGGTTGCTGGCTCATGAGGGATCCCCCATCAGGTCACCAAATGCACACAATCTTCTGAGCCCCTATGAATGCAGTAATCTTGATTTTTTTTAAAAAAAAATTGGGGTCTTATGCAAGTGGACAGGAGCACAAGAGCACCTGCGCACCAATTTGCCAGATGTACGGCTATCCCCCTCTTGTCAATCTCCTTGTCAATTTCATCCTTCCCGTCGGCACTTGCCTTGCCAGCGAACACAGTGTTTTCCTCCAAAGGATGCTTCACGGAGTACCAAAGCAATTAGGCCTGCCTGCAAAGCTCAGTTTCCTGCAGCTGCCAGCTCCTCCCAGCTCCCCTTTCCCCACTTGGCATTTGTTGCTTCCCTCTGCTGGTCTTTGCTGCTGGCTGTCGGGCAGATGTGGGTGTCACAGAGCCATGATGGGGATCAACAAAGGCACGCACGTTTCAAGGCAGGGCAGGGAGCGAGAGGAGTCAGTTTTCAAGACAAACAAGTGAGGCAAATTGGTAAATATACACCAATTTCATGGAAGAGCAGGAAAGTGGAGAGAAAAGTTACAGAAATTTAGCAGAGTGGGCTTGTGAATGTGTGCATTTACACGAGACCAACAACGATGATTAAAATAATAGGTTAGAAATGCATCTGGGACACTCTCCGGTATCCTTTCTTCTCAGTTTTTAGGCACATGGAGTGGAGGACATGGTCAAAGGAGGAGAGGGGAGGCAGCCCTGGTGAGACTGCAGCCTTGCTGGGCGTGCGGGAGCCACTCTTGACAACCCATGATGATGTCACCTTGTTGCGTTCAGACATCAGGATTAGCAGCCCTGACAACAAGCCACCCTGATCAATCCAAGAACAACTCATAGGTTCTCAGGGTGGCCTGTTCATGGAAAACAGCTCTGATGAGAAAAATGCTCTGCGTTCAGATGTCCCAACAAGCTACTCTGAATCAGCCCGTGGTGACAACTCACCATGGCTAATTGTGTGAATCAGGTTATTTTCATCACGCAGAAGTTAGTTACACAGATCAGATGGATTATGTTGAAGTACACTACCAAGAAGAGCTGAGGTTCCCCAGCTGAGAGAGGCAAGTTGCTTCACTCAGTCACGATCACTGGAAAATGGGAAATTCACTTTTTTCTCCAGTCCTTCTGCCCACGAACAGTATACCCATAAGAAAGCAAGAGAAGCTATGCTGAATCAGACCAAAGGCCTATCTAGTCCAGAATTCTGCTCATGCAGCAGCTAACCAGCAGCCTCTGGGAAACCTGCAGGTCAGGTCCTATAGGCCACATGGTGGTACTTCTGCCTTTGGGCCACCCGCCCTACCTTTGTTGGCGCACGCCATCCACTGCAGGGGAGTGACATCGTAGTTATGCTGTCCCACAGAAAAGGTGAACACGCGTACCTGTGAAAAAGAACAAGCAGCATTCCCTTTTACTCAAGGAAGAGAAACCGGGAGCATCCATCATTAAGCACAGAGCCTTCCATAATGCCCTCCAAACCCATAAAACGAATGGCTTCATTTGAAACATGGGCACATGGAATAGAAACCTACAAACATGCCCATTCAAATAACAACAGATGTGCTTGTCAGCTGGAGATTCTTTCGCTAAGCCTGGAGATACTTACTACGGACCTGTTTATAGGACTCCTGTCCTCAGAGCGGCTCCCCGTCAGCGCCCTCCCCGAGGCTAGCCAGATGTGTGCAGCCCTGCCACGCACCAAAAAGTTGTGTCGTGAGCATTTACTGCGAAGTGCAAAACATCTGATCCTGGGCATGGTGGCTGCTGGCTGCACATAATCCACAGCTGGGAGAGGAAGCCGAGGCGCAGAGGAATGTTCTGGTGGCTGCGCTTGGACAGTGCGCTACATGCAACGAAGCAGCGCTGCTTGATGAGCCCTGCACGTAATTTTATGGGCTGATGATTGGGAGCTCAGTTTTTGGTTATTTTATTAGTTAAACAGAAATTACTTGCAAACAGGCACCAAAGTGCTTAAGGCTAACTTACAACACTGTAACACTGTTGGATAGAATTAAGTCTCTGTGCAGCAAAAGTCAGTTCCTGCAACCAATCGGTAGATGGTAGTGCAGAAGAAACGTGGTTCCATTTTAGCTTCCAGCTGCTTCCCACCAATTATCCCTTTCCTGGTCGTGTTTTGGAAGAAGAATCCAGTGGAGGACAGCAGCTGGCTGTGTGTTTTCAGCCCCTGCACACCGAATGGCCACATAGGTGGCCCCAGTGAAGCAGATCAAGTATCCACCACTTACCTATTCGTTTTTGCAAAATGCCTAAATTATGCTGAGCATTGTTACACTGTGTTCTTATTCACCAACACATCTGCATAGCTTCATGTCACCAAAAGAATTCATTGGCTTGGCTACCATAGTCAAGAGGACCCACATGCCTCCACCCCCCCCCCCCCCGTCCCCACCCCATTTCATAAGAAAATCTAACATTTCAAGCAAAATGTACTTGACAGGCTGGTAACAATAACAGCAAGACAAATTGGCCAAGCAACATTTCTGGATGAAACCAGATTGGGATCTAGGTTTAAATACCTTTAAAAATGCTGTAGGTGCACAGATAGAAACCTGAGAGAAATGGAAGAGAATTCCCTATTCCCTCGGGGGTTAGCTGCAATCCTCACAGTAGCTGTGGAGGAATGAACCCTCCAGCAACCATACATTGTTCCCTGTGGTCATGCCAAGTATTATGGGGTGGCTTGGTCCTGAATGAGCAGTGAAGACCCATTCGATGTATAAGAGACCTGTTCTTGGTGGAACTAAACTGCTAGAATGGGTTGGTGGATTTGGATCAGCACAGATACTTGAATAGTTGGGCTCTGCCTGGGGCTGTGGCTACGCAGCCTATCATGACGTGTGTCAGCACTTCAGAAGCTACCACTTCATTACTGCTCACCTGAGTTTTTCCATCGTTCCACCCCTTTCTATCTCCAAAGACACATGCAAAAATAGTGCCTTGTCTTCCTTCCTTCCCTGTCACTCACTGCTGTTATGAGCAAGGTAGTGTTTGATCACATCTGTTGAAAGATTGGACTCCCCACTGAAGAAGCATTTGGAAAGTTATATTTAACATCCACCTCCCGTGTTTTGGTAATAGATGCTACCACTGGAAAAAACCCTTTTGCTTTCCCCGCCTCCTCCCACCCACACTTTCTGCCCTTGCTTGTCTGCAGGCAGGTGCAGCGAGTCTGGGAATATGCTATAAACATGCAGAGATGATTTCCAAGTTCCAAGGAATCGGCCGGAAGGTGCAGGTGCTTCTTGGTGGCAGCAGGACTCTGGTACAGTGCCAACCCCACAGGCGAGCCCTTTGTGAACCGGAAAGGGCCAGTGCTGCCTCTGGTGAGGCCCGTTGCCGCCCTTCGTGTTCTGCTAGGCGGGGGAAGAGAAAGGTGCTTCAGGGCAGCATTGCAGATGGTGCATCGCACTGCGCTTGAGAAACAGTCTTTCGGCCGAGCTCCCTGTTACGCAGATTGTGAAGCATGTTGCTGAGGGCTGGGTTTCCACTATGCTAATAAAAGCACACATGGCCACGATTTGGGTCAGGACTGATTTTTTGGTGGGGAGGGGAGGACGAAACTTCTCCTCTGCCCATCTCCCACCATCACCAAAAAATGCATTCCCTATGGAGGGAAGTCCCCACTGGCATCAGTGGAGCAGAGGAGAGTCTCAGGGAACAATTTCAGGGAGTAAATGGTGGTGGTGACTGGGAAAAGGTTTAACTCGCCCTTCCAGTTCTATGCTGGTCCTAATCCAAATCAGGGCTGTGCACACTGACACTGGAGTAAATAAGACCCTAGCCCTCATTTATGCACTTCACAATTTGTGTGCCGTGATGCCTGGCTCTAAGCAAAAGCAGAGATGCCGGAGGGCCGCACCCTCTCCTTCCTTTCCTATGTGTAAGGAGGAGGAGAGCAAAGCTGTGTGGGGAACATACAAGCTACTCACTCCAGAGCCCGAGCCACCTAGCAGGAGAACTTTTCTGTTTGCTCTTAATTCTAGGGAGCCTCCTGCAAACCCGGCAGGTTTGACAAAAGTACCCCATTTCGTGTATCGATAGCGTGTGCAAAGTTTCCAAGGAAGTTCTGTCCACCTTCTTTTCCGGCACTTCAAGGTCAGTGCAGGTAATGAAACCTGTGCCAGCATGTTAGACGCACCATTAAAGGGGCAGTGGCTCAGTGCGGGAGCAGACAGGCAGGAAGACCAACTGTCTAAATAGCTCACACCCAATGAGGCGGAATCCAGCAATAAAGCATGGCCGAGCCGCTTCCCCGTCCCTGTGACGGAACTGATGCCAGTCACACAGCTGCTTCCTCAATGATTTGGTCATGTTTCCCAACTCATTTATAATCTTCCATATGCAAAGATTTGGGGGGGGGGCTGTTGTCCACCCCTCATGGGCTTATGCACGGATTTTAGCTGGGAAAGCTCATTGTCATTTGAGCAAGTGAACAAGAGGCGGGTTAGGACTTCGCCTGCCTGCTCTCTAGCGTAGTTCAGGATGCCACACGCTGCACTCCGAAGACGCCCCATGCAAGGGAGGGACGAGATCCATATATCCAGTTGGGTATTTATCCTGGTCCCCATACTGCATAATTGTGTAAGGCAGGCCTGCCAGTGCCAAGGCTAAAGCTGCAGCCTGAGACAAATGCCGCTATGAAACAGGCATCACGAACCTTCTGGCCACTGCTCTCTTCAGCTTGGTAGTTCCTGGAGGAAACGTGTAAATTTCACCAGTTTCACTTGCCTGCCACCCAGGCAGAATAGAAGTACAGGCTCAGTCAACTCTGTTGAATCCAGAATGCAACCAATGCCCATGTACTGGTTAAAAATGAACAAGCCTTGATTCATAACGTCTCTAGTGGTCAAGAGGTCCTGTCCTATGAAGGAGAGTAGTCTCTTCCTGCTCCCCCCTCCAGTCCGGGGCATCATGGAAGAGGCCATTTTGGAATCCTGCTTGTCCTGAGGTGTTTGTTTTGATGGACAGAGAGCCGCAAACACTTGTCTGCAACAGTGTCGCGCTTTTCCTCATCACTAGTCAGTTACCTTGACCTGAATCAATGGCACTATTTATCTGTAACTAACAGCTGCTTCACATTTCATGGCATAGAAGTGCTTTTACAGGTTTGGCTTGGGAACAAAGCTATTTTTGCAAATATATCTGTCTTCACCTTCTGTTCTAGTTTTACCTGGGTGAGCCGGCTTGCTGTTTAAATGCCTCATGCCCTGTGATAGTGAAAAGCTCCTACATCTGATTTAGGCCTGCGTGTAAAGTGCTTCAGGGGAGGGGGAATTTGGCTTCAAGGGTGTCAGTGAAGGAATAAGTGGCTGCTCACAGGCCAGGTGCAGTGTTGTCATGGAAAGCTCAGAGGACACGCTAGCCAAGATGAGGGATCGGGAACGTCGTTGTCACTCCAGTAAGGGCAGAGCTGACACAGAGGGGCTCCTGACGCCTGCCAAATGCAACTAGGTCCAGTGCCACCAGTGACTACACTACAGGGTAACCCTTTCCGCACAGCCCTTAACTCCCTCCGACAGAAAGCGAGCTGGAGTGCAGCTCAGGCTGTGGCATCCAACTGCAGGGAGCTGGTCTGAAAAACAAAGAAAGCAGCAGCCGGGACAGAAGGAAACACTGCAAGGTAGCGCTCGCCTGCTAACTGCCAGTAACTGTATCTTTGATATCTGCTTTAAATGTCGAACGACACTGCACCACCAGCTGAACTGTGCTGTGGTGTGGGGTGGTCCCCACACAAACATACCCCCAAAGCATCCCTGGATTTGATCCCGCTGTCAGCACTGGCACTGGAGTAGCGCTGAGGCAGAGTCTCAGCATTCCCGTTGAAAAGGGGCTGACATACTGGGGAAGGGCCTGAGCCTGCAGCAACATAAAAGAATGTGGCCATAAATGCCACCAGCAACACTTTGTGTGTGTGTGTGTGTGGGGGGGGGGTCTGAAGGAAGAACCACTTCCCTGGAATGAACCAGCGAAGGAAACCTGTATCTTTTCTCTTAGAGGCTGGGAACAGGCAACGCGTGGTCCTCCGGCTGCCTGGCCTGTAATCCCCACCAGCCCTGGTTGGCCATGTGGTGGGTGATGAAGGCCGATGCGTCTGAAGGGTCATATGCTGCCCACCCTGGCCTAGAGAGACCAGGAAGCCCAAGTCACAGCGGGGTGGCTGGGTCTGCATATGATCTGGGGCAACACGCAGCAGCTCCAGTACCAAATGCAGCCCTTCCCTCGGATCGTTTCCGCCATGCTTCACCCGGCCTTCTGCTCCCCGTGCTTGTGGAACGTGTGTTTCTTCGTGCGTGTGCACTGCGGCGCTGGGGGTGGCCCCTGGGCTACAGTTGAGGGGTGGGTGGGTGGGCTGGGGTGGGCAGGGATTGGAGTGTGGATACTGACGTTCCTCCCTGCCGTGGGAGCCAGCAGCATCCATCCAGCGGGGGGCTTCTCCGGCTCTTAGAGCACGTCCACTGCAGGATGCAACATGAAGCTCTTCTCCTGGGACACCCCTGCTGGGATTGGGGGTGAGCTGTGCAACTCGCTCCCAGCTGCAGCGCTCCACGGTCCTGAAGGGGAGGCCAGCCCAGAGGGTGGAGGACCGGCGGCTGGCTACCTTAACAGGGCCGCCACAGCACCGGTGCAGCCAGGTGAGGGTGCCGGAGGAATACTCACCGTCTTGTTGGGCCAGTTGTACTTCTCAAACACGTCCTGCACGCGGTCTTCCCCTCCGTCAGTGAACATCATGATCATCTTATTGCAGTTGGCTCTTGTGATGTTGGACTGCCGAGAAGAGGCAGGTATTTGCATGAGTACAGAACTCAAAGCCACGGACATGGCACCACACAAGCATTATGGGAGCGATGAGGCCAGTAAGCTTAACACTGATTGGTCCAAATAAAGCAGGGGCAGGCCACGTCAGCCCTGTGGCTGCAGCATTCTATTCTACTGAGTCAGGCTGATTTGAGACTATTCAGACCGTTGTTTTTACCTATTTGAAGGAGGAAAAAGGACTGGCACATGTGTTAAAATCATGCACATGTAGATGGAAGTCATGCCTGGTTGCATGTGGAAGAAAACAGAAGGAAGGCATTCTGTGTGTGTGTGTGTCCACGTATGAGTATGCTTCCACATATATAAAAGAAATTGGCAAAAGATGCACATGCAGGCAAGCACAGGTATTCGACATGGGTGTACACAAAACCCTGCTCCCGAAAGCCGTTGCTACAGCTTCCTGCCTTCTTCCATCCCCTCCTCAGCTGGAGGAGCTGGCACTGAGGAATCTGTTTTCTTTAGCTGCTTCTCCAGGGGTGAAGGTGGTGCAGATGAACAGGGAGAAGGAGGGGCTGTCAGGACGGAAATTATGTTGTGGCTATTACCGCTCAGCGATTAATAGGACTATTCATCTTTATTTTGCTCAACGTCACTGCAGCCCATCTGATCCAAGCCCTCTCAGATGGGCCCTGCTAACTTTCTAATGAAATGGAAGAGGCAGCTGCTTTCATTGAAACTTAAGTGCCGACTGCAGAAGCTTTCCATTTACTGGGGGAGAGGCTGGCATTGACAGCACCCTGCCCCACTGCAGCCCTTCAGAGGCAGGGACCCACATATTGTTGGGACGAAGAACGCCGGTGCCCCTGGCCTGTTGCCCATATTTCCCCCAGTGCCGGGAAGGAATGCCACAGAAGCAGTTTCCAGGGATGGAGTGCCGATTGTGGAGGAATGTCCCCCAGTCATAGCCTCTCTCCCAGAAGGCAATACCCAATGGGGTCTGGGACTGAGAGGTTCAGGCTACCACCAGGGAGACCCTGGTCCAAATCCCTGCACAGCCCCAAAGTTCTTGGGCCAGATGCTATTTCTCAGCCTAACTGGCTTCCCAGAGTTGTTTTGGGATAAAATGAAGTGCAGCAGAACTTTGTAGGCCACTTTCAGTTCCTTGGGCCAGATATATAATGGGGGGCCAGTGCAAGTGGTGAAAATTTGGATGGGAATCCAGGGTTCTGGACACAGGGTGATGCAGACTCACAACAGCTGCTGTTTGGGGGGAAGGGGCAGTGGGAATACATAACAGCATTATTTCTTCCCTTTTCAGCTTCTCTTCTTCTAAGGAACTTGCAGCTGTACACATGATTCCTCTTCCCATTTTATCCTCACCACAACCTTGTGAGGTAGGCTAGTGTGAGAGCTGTGCCTGGCCCAAGGAGACCTAGTGAGCATCATGGCTAAAAGGGGATGTGAGGCTGAGTCACCCTGTCCTGGCCAGCAATGTGCCCACTCGTTATGTCACCAAGGAAGATGGGAGCTGGTGGACAAGGCCTGTGGGCATTTCTCATGATACTCTCCCCCACTTGGTATGAGGAAGCTTTTGGGAAATGGTTGACATAGGAATCTAGAAATGATAGTATCCATGTGAGGCACACTCTCAATGCCCACAAGCTCAGGAAATTTCTGAGCTGCTCATGCATCTTCAGAGCAAAGTAGCATGCCTCCAGAGATGCGTGGATGCATTTCTGGTGACTTTCTCCCTGGCCTCACCAAAAGCAACTGCTTTGGAGCAGGAGTATGGAACTCCCGGCAATCCTGAGTGCCAGAACAGGTCTGTGGAAGATGTCTCCAAATTACCAAACATGAGTTTGCATTCCATTTTGCAACTTCACCATTTGATTTGTACAAATTATTTTTTAGTCTCAAGGAAAAATTTCTACAATTTTGGAAAACTGCACACATTTGGAGAGTTTTGCTTTATTTTTACATTTGGTTGTTCATTTTCCTATTTGCACACAATGAACAGCAATCACAAACGAGAATATAAATTGAGTGCAAGATGATCAGTTAGAGCGGGTTTGGGGAATCTTGTCAAGTTCAGGCATCAGTCTTTGACTATCCCTAATCCCCTCCATGCATTTTATTTGAATTCTAGGACTTTTCTCCTCACAATCCTCCCACCCACCCCACACATGCCTGGCCTTCAACCCTTGCTTACATTTTGCAGCTGTTCAAAAGCATACTCAAAGCCCGCCTTGTAGTCAGTGGTTCCTTGAGCCTCCATTCCTTCTACGTCTTCTTTGAACACTTTCTTGTTGCGTATATTTGCCTGGACCAAATGCTTGAAACAGGAGACAGGCTGTGCCTTTTGGTTAAACTGGAAAGCAAGATACAGGGAATTGTAATGCATTAGAACAGGCCAGGAGACAGTGCAGATGACGCTCATTTGATCCCCACCCCTGTTGTTTAGTGCAGCTTTCTCCACCTTGGTGCCTTCCAGTTGTTTTGGCCCTCATTTCCCATCAGAGGCTGCCAACATGGCCAGTGTGAGGAATGCTGGGAGTCACACTTCAAAATATCTGGGGGGTGCCAAGTTAGGGGAGGCAGGATTAGTGAATGACAGAGTCATGTGTGCTTTGAACAGTACCAAGACGAGACTATCTTGTTCCTATCGGCAAACTTAGCCTTTGATGCAGACAGCCAAGTGGGATCATTAGGGATCAGTCTGGGTCTGGAGAAATTAGCTACTGTTGGCAGAGACCTCCTAACCACACAGGTATCCGCTCCACCATTGCCAGATAGCTCGACACCAGACATGCATTTTAGCCAAGTCATTGAAGAAAACTGGAAAGAGAGGGAGCCAGGGTGTTTGGGAGATGTACGTGAACGGGGCAAAGAACACAGGGCTCCCATGCTACGTATCTGGGGAGAAGAGATCAGCCAAAGCCAGCTAAGCGGGGGCGGGGGGTGTTGTGACACTAGGAAGATCTGCAGTTTATCCAGTTCTGATCGTCTGCCCGCAGTTCATGGAGAATGGCTGGTCAGCAGTCACGGCCCTTTAAGCTCTACCACCAGTTTTTGCATCCTTGCATGTATCTGTGTTAAGCTGAATTAAATCTAAGAACTCTGGGAACTGTAGTTTTTCAGGAGGGGAGGAAGGACACTAGGAAGCCCCAGTAGAGAGTTCTCATTATCTCAGCCAACTATTTTGCAAGACTCTTTTAGGGAAAGCGTGACAGTTAGAGGGATATAAGATGGATATTTGCAGCACATGTGAGAGACTCTAAAGGTGCGGACACAAAGCCCTGTCATAGGAGATCTGTCTGTCTGACTGCTATTCTGTCCTTCTTCCACGTTCCTTGCTTTTATCTTTACAGAAGTCCTGTGTGGTGTGAGAGGCTGAGAGAGGGAGACTGGCAGAATGTCCTCAAGCCAACCTCATGGCTGAGTGAGGTTCTGAACCAGTTTTCTCTTGAACTTGACTTGACCATGAGCTTTTGGTGGTTCTAAAAGAACTAATGGTCTGCAGAAGTTATTTGTGGCCTCCCCATTCCCCTCGTGAATGTAATACTTGCAGTTCACTATTTGAAGTGCACAAGACCAGAAGGACAAATGAAGTGGCTGAGATCAAACTGCGTGATGAGAAGTGGGAGAAATGAATTCTCGGTCTCTTTGCTGAAGGCCAGGGCCTTTTCATTCAGAAGGCCCAAATCTGCACCTGGGTTTCTATGGGACTGTGGAGGAGCTTGTTGGCATCAATGGAATGATGCGATTTTTCTTTCTCCGTCTGTGACTGAGAACAGAATGAATTTGTGGAGAGCATTGCTGTGATTACCTGAACACCTCCAGGCGTGCTTTCTGCAGAGCATTTCAGTACCTTATCACAAGGTCACAGGCCCAGTTAAGTGGGTGCCCTGTGCTAAGCTCCTGTTCAGAGAGGGCTGACTTCTCACTCCGAGAATCTGGCCAGGCGGGTGAAGCGAGAAAGCACTCATTTTTGCTTATGGCTTAGTTTGCTGGAAGTATGGAACATTCATTTAGGAGGCAGTGATCCAGCAAAAGTAACGAGGCTAGACTCGTTAATTAGCACAGGCGCGCTCCTTGCCAGACAGCAGGCACATGATATGGAGAATGACGGAGCTCTTCATTTCCTTCCCGATATACCTTTCTTTAGGGTTGTGGAGAAAATAGTTGGAAAACTATTACCAGTGAGGAAGAGGAATGGATTTAATTTGTATCAGGGTTCAAATTAATCAGGGCTTAACACTCATGCTAGATTCCAGGCTTAAAGCAACCTTTTCCTGCCTGGCTGAGGATGATGAGACTCATAGTCCAAGACATTTGGAAGGCGCCAGGTTGGGGGAGGCTGCCCTGACGCATGAATTAACTATGAATAAGGGTCAACTTGGGCTGATGAAAATTGCCCTTCCCATGCCACTGACTGCCCACAGCTGCTCACATTCATCTGATTGGAAAGGAAGGCTGGGCTGAATTCCCACGGCCCCCCTGCCAGGGATCCCAACCCATGTCCTCTCCCAACAATCCGCCCTCGTGCAGGCACTGGTTGAGCACTGGATTCGCTCAAACAGGCACACCAACAGGTCGAAGGAGGCTATTTAAACAGGAGAGGCGGCAAGGACTGGGACTGAAAAGGGAAGGGGAAAGGCAATTGAAGCACAGCAGGAGTTTCTAGCCCCACCTCCCCAGAGGATGCAGACTCTCCAGCACATCACCTTGACAAGGCAACAACAAAGCCAAGCCTACTCCACACAAGCCAGGCAGTGGGTCTCCCACGGGCAGAGGAGCAGCAAAATCAGTTGGGCAACAGGCTCAGGCAAGTTCGCTCCCAGAGAGACAAAAGACCCATTCCAGGTGCTGGCATTTCATTGCCCCTGGGGCCGGGGGGGGGGATCCCCAAGAACCCATCCTGGGATGGACTGTATCACACTGGGCATATCCCGCCTGGGCCTCTTCCCAGCTGCAGGCAGTAAAGCCCAGACAGTTGACCTTGGGACCAAACTCAGCTCATCCCGATAAGCTTCATGCATGAATCATCCAGCTTCCCAACCTTCCCTGTAAGGCCCTGTCAGGAGAAACAGCAGAAGAACGGGCCAACTTGGCTAACCCCTGAGCTCCTGTCCATGCACCTCTCACACAGCTATTAGGAGGCTGAGCCTGCAAGCCGCAGGGGACATAATTGCCCTCCACCTCAGCCCAGTGCCAGCACCTGGCACCGTGGTGTGCGAGCACTGGGCTTGGAGCTCCACTGCCTGGGGAGCAGGCATCTGAGGCAAGGCTGCCCTGGACTGCTCCCCACCATTTTGCCCATGGCAAAGCCACACTGAGCAGCCATGGCTTGCTCCCAGCTCACCGATCCTGGGATTGCTCTCTCGGGCTTAAGACTGCAGAATCAACTTTAGGTAGAGGGATTTTAATTGTCAACAAAACTCCTTGGTTGCACCTCACATTGGCTGTAGGAGGCCAGCCCAAACCTGCGTGAAGTTAGTGATCAGCCATAATTCATAAAGAAAATCCAGCACCTCCATGGCTGTTAGTTCAATCTGTTACAAAAATGCTATTTTTGTTTGTCTTGTCTTGCCTTGCATTGCAAAAGCCTGCCTCTCCCTTTATCTCCTAAAATGTGGGTCACCTTCGTCATTCATGACTACAACCTTCTCCTTCTGGGCCTTCTGTGGTGACACCTTCCTGGTCAACGTTATTCACATCTCTCATTGTTTAGATCATGTAACATGGATGAGGGGCCACCCCCACCCCCACACTGCATTTGCATCCTAGCTTTCTTCCTCTTGCAAGGAACCCAAGGCAGCCTACCAAATTCTCTTCCTCTCCATGTTGCCCTCACAACGGCAACCCTGTGTGGTAGGATTGGCTGAGAGGCAAAAGCCTCATGTCACCCAGTGGGTTTCGTGGCTGAGTGGGAACTGGAACCGTGGTCTCCTGAGTTCCAGTCCAGCAGCCCTAAACCACTAACCATACCGGCTCCCATTTGCAGAATGCATGGAGAGGTGGGTGGATTTCCAAATGACAGTCCCTTCCACCCACTGACCCTCCCATGTTTCCTCACCATCTTTTCCATTCCCTTTTTCCCAGTGCAGAGAATCCTTTAAGGGATGCGGGGAGGGAGCAGCTGTACACAGCGCCTTCTAACAGATAGCGCCAGGAACTCTCTGTCTGGAAGGTGACCTTGTCTTTAGCTGCACGGACTTGCCCCCTACTTCTGCTCCTGCTGGTGACCTCTCTTCCTCCAACTTAGCCCTTGCCATATCGAAAGGCCCCCTTAGAGAGCTCTGTCCAGCTCCCTTGTTGCTGAACCTCAAACGGCTCACATGGCAGGGTAATAAGGCCGAACAGACCACAGCCGCTCCAAAGAGAGGCGCCAAGGGCCAGAGAGCACTTTCACAGACCTTTCCAGTACAAAAGAACATGCAGCATCGAGCACTGACTCCAACCCTTCTAATGTCTGCACCCCATTTACAAAAAGAACCAACATGTTCTTGATCCCCCCCAGCAATCATGAAGTATTGGAGGGGGGCAAGGAGGGAGAACAACCTTAGAATGGATGAGTTATGGGCTGCACTTCACCACCTGCCCGTCATGTCCTTGACCCCCTTTCTACAGTACATCAGTACTGCCGAGTTTTACATTTGCCTGCCCGTTAAAAGCTCAGCACAATTCTAGCCTTGGTGGGGGATAAAACAATCACTGCCCCCGATGGAAGTCCTGGACTTGCACAAGCAGACCAGGATCTTAAGGAGCGGCGCCTCATGCCCACTCCCCGCAGCCGTCACCTGTGTGCAAAATGCTCCGAGAAAAGGATCCTTAGCCTGGCATTTACCCAGCCATCTCCTAGTCCAATAACACCGCTGGGTTAATGGTAATATCGATTCATAACTAGAAATCCCATAAGCTATTTTGGGACAGGGAAGCATTTCATCTTTTCTTGGCAATGCATACGTACCAGTCAAATATCTGCTAAATTCAGAATATATTTTTAGAGGCTCCCCGCACTTTCAGAATTGCCAGATGCCCGCTCCACTTTATAAAGTCCCTGAAAAGTCCAAAAGAGGGCTTGGATTTTTTTTAGCATCTAAGAATATAGTATGGGGATGTGTGTGTGTGTGTGTGTGTGTGTGTGTGTGTGTTTGGGAATGTGTCTCTGTCATATAAACACATGTGCACAATGAGCTTTTCTACACAATGTATTTTGTTCATTGTGCACTTATGATTCCTCACTCATGGTCATTTGCGGGTGTTTTACCCAATGCCATCCTTCTCCAGGGCTTCCAGGTTTTGTTTTTTTCTTTTTTAGATCAAGGAAAATATGGTTTTATTTGAAAATGGTGGAATGCAACACTT